GTGTAGGTCTGAGAAGGCGTGTAGGTCTGAGAAGGCGTGTAGGTCTGAGAAGGCGTGTAGGTCTGAGAAGGCGTGTAGGTCTGAGAAGGCGTGTAAGACTGTGGCAGAGAGGAGGACTGTGTTTGATTCGATGCAAAGGGATTTGATTGTGAAAAACCTGGGGTGTTTGAATAAGGTTGTGTCTGTGCAAAGGACTGGGGCACTGCAGTGGAGTCAAGCAGAGCAGGTGGTGGCGGTGGTGGGAAGCTATCAACTCCATCCCCTTCATCCCCTGACACACCAAGCTCGTAATGCCTCTTCCTCAGTTCCCCCAAGCGTACTCGCTCCTGTTCCAGCTGGCTCTCCAGCTGCAGCACCTTAACCTGAAAGATTCAAAGAGCACAAGATCTGGCGATGGCTTCCAGACGTCTAAAAACCCAATGCCCCAGACTAAGATTCAAAACTGTCATTGCATGTTTTTAACTACATTGATTTCACATAGTCACAATACTGTTTCTTTAAAAGGTGGCTTAACTTGTCTTATACATGATCCAGAACAACAAGCAAGTTGCACATAAGGACAAACAATTAAACAATCCATTCAGAGACATGTTAGTCTGACCTGAGCTTCCATTTCTTCTTTTTTAAGCTTGATCAGAGACATGCCGGAGAAGTCCATCAAGCCTGTAAAGGCAACAATATCAGTTGGAGTGTCAAAGCTGCATCATAGAATAATCAGCCAATTTCATGGTTACTTTAAGCATTTAAACATTTTGATTAGTCTGGTTGATTTTATGCTAAACTGCTGCTGATCAAACGGACTAATGAGATAGATGAACAAAAAACCCTCACAAGCCTTAAAGCTGTAGGCTAGCTCAGCTATGCTATGCTCAGTGGTAGACAGGTTGGCTCGCTGTTTAACACAGTTAAGTATTAAGCAGCAGAAAGTGTCAGAAATAAAAGGCCAAAAAAAGGGCTAAAGTAAGTGTTAAACTTACACTCACCAAGTTGTATAGATTTATTGTTTGCTTACATGTATGCTGCCATTTTTAGCCAAAACTATGCTGTTATTATAAAGGGTTACTAAAAATGTGAAGCATCAGCTATTTTCTTGCAATATGAGCTTCTCCTCTCACCGTGGTCAGAGATCTGCTGCTGCCCATGTTTGGTGGAGGTGACGACCACAGCAGCCATGTCATTTACATGCCTTGAGGCCTGCTGCAGCGTATTCAGCTTCTTGTTGTTGCGGTCAGCTTTTACCTGGAATGAGTAGCAGTAAGTTTGTTTTCCATAAGGACAGTTTTTCACTATGTGGTGCATGTATGGGCACAGAGCAGGCACATTTCAAAGGATGTAACTGGGTGACCATGCCGGCTGAGGTGGTTCTAAGTAGTTACATAAAGTCACAGAGCTGTATGCATGTTTTGTCTTTGTTCTAGGTTTTAATGTAATAATGGCTATTTCTACCTCTTTGAGACTCAGTCACTGAAGTGAAGTTTCCCTTTAAACCTGAAAGGCTTAAAAGGGAAATTTCACTTCATAAAAAAAACCACGTCTTTTGGTTTCATTGAGAAATCAAATTTGGAAAGTAACCGGCAACTTCCACTGTCACATAAAAGCCAAAAGGCTAAGAAGAATTAAATTCCTTCCAAAATGTAGCAAAGCAACAATCATCAATGCGCAACTGTGCAATTTTCACGGGACAGTAGTGAATCTGTTTCATTCCATGGTGTACTTGCTTGAAAAAAGAAAAGAAAAAGAAAAAACAAAACATCAAGCAAATCACTTCATATTTGTATTTATAGAAAACAGATAGAAAGGCAATTGTACATTTTAGTAGCTTCACCATAATGCAAAAACAGCTTTCTGTTCATTCAGCTATAAAGATTGAGAAGAACATTCAGTAATGACAATTTTGAGTAACGCATCTGTGTGTATAATAATTTCAGAGAAAACCTGTAGCTATAAGGTACTTGAGGATGGTTTGGACAGAGTTAAAGGTGTAGTGAAGAGTGACCTATTGACCCCCGAACATTCATCTGAAGGTGTAAAAAGAACTGTTACTAAACATTGGCATATTTAACCTAGTACCTTAAAATAGCCTTTAATAGATCTCTTTTGTTAAGAAATTTGCTAAAACCAGAGAGATATGAATGAATGAAGGGTGGAACACCAAGGAATGCTGTGGATCAGCTGATACTTTTTTCCTTTCTTTTCATGCTTGGTATGATGTTCTTTCCCTTTAATGTAGAGCATTGCACACATTCTTTTATCACCTTTATGTTTTATGTTTCTAACATTGTGCTTAATGACACTGTTGTCGATTGGCATTTGGAGCCCATTTGGCATATATGTATGCCACTATCAGCTGCTTTAACTTGCACTGACAACAGTTTATTGCTGATACATGTCCAATTCTTTTTGCCCTTTGATAAATATAGTGAAATGTTTGTTTGTTGTCAAGTGTTTGTTCACCTGGTAGTTTAAACCACATTTCCGTGGAGGCATTTTAGCCCACTCCTCTTGTTTTAGCCACACTGGAGAGTTTTTGTGCGTGAACATCATGTTTACAATAATGCCAAAGGAACTCTGTTGTATTTAAATTCTGATAATCCATGTTTCTCCTTCAGTGGATCATATGATCCAGCTCACTTTTGTTGTTTGTTAAAAAAACGAAAAACAAAACTAGATAGCCTCACTCTTGTCCAGATTTAGACCAAATATAGGTTATCAGTACTTTAACTGTGATGCAGGTGGCGCCAAAATTCAGACAAAAGAAAAAATCCTTAATTAATTATATTAAGTTTGATAGTAACAGCTAGTAACAGTAATAGTCCACAAATATGTTATTATATCAGTATCAATAAATTCATTTTATCCACGACCATGTTTACCTGACCTACTTTGACATGACATGTATGCAACAATTCAAGTTGAAAATACTGAGAAGTTTTTCTAATATTGAAGAGGCTAATTCATATATAACTGAAGTAACTGTACTCTGCTCTATAAAACATCTTAGAAACATGGTGTCTATCTAGATTGTTCTTGGAGTCATTTTTGACCTGGATATATCCTTCAAAATGCATATTAAACAAATATGTAGGAGTTCATGCATTTATTACTTCCAGGTTGGACTACTGTAATTCATTATTATCAGGCTGTTCTAAAAACTCCCAGAAAAGCCTTCAGTTGACCCAGAAAAGAGAAAAGTGACAGGGACTAGAAAGAGGAAACATATTTCTGCCATTTTGGCTTCTCTTCATTGGCTCCCTGTTAAATCCAGATTGAGAGCTTCACTCTCAGACTGCTGGTATTCCTGTGGTTCCTTGGATATTTAAAAGTAGAAGGGGAGGTAAATCCTTCAGCTTTCAGGCCCCTCTTCTGTGGAACCAGCTCCTTTGATCCATTTCATCTCAGTAAATCAATAGTTGGTTGGGACTAGGTTTCACAGTGGATTAATAATGGATTGCATTTATATAGCGCTTTTCGAGACCCTCAAAGCACTTTACAATTCCACTATT